GCCACAGAGTACAGTGGTGGCCTTTCTCTCCCCTGATGTGAGCAGCTGAAGGAAAGCTCTGAAACAGGAACCCCACAGTCGGGAGAGATGCCAGCTGCCACCAAAGGAGCAACAAGATGCCAGCAGACTGGTAATGCCTTGGCCATGTGGCAACATATAGATTAACAGGAATGGGATGAGTTAAGTTACAAGAGCTGGCTAGCAAGAAGCTGAAGCCATAGGTCATACAGTTTGTAATTAATATAAGCCTCTGAGTGATTATTTTATAAGCAGCTGTGGGACCATGTGTGGGAGAGAGTCGTCCAGGCCACGGAGCCGGGAGGGACCGAGAAACTTTCAACTACACTGGCTCATCTTCAGGTGCAGCCTGAAGGCTGGTAGATGTGGTAGGTGGGGCTAGAGGGGGCAGATGGGTGGGCTTCAGGGGCCCCTCCAGATTCCTGGGTTCAGTTGGGGTGACAGCCAAAAAGTGGGCCCAGTGAACAGTCCCTGACCCCATCTTCCGGCTTAACCAGTCTCCTCTCCTCTCGACCCCAGAGGCTGGCGTGGGATATGAGGCAGGTAGGAAGGGCAACACAGATGTCAGCACCCCGGAAAGCCCTGTCTCCCTCCACAGGAGAGACTTTAAGGATGAGTCACTAAGGCCCCCAACACCCAGCACATTGCTCTCTGCACCACCACAAGGACAGAATAAGAGAACACATAGGTGACGTTCTTAGGTCATTTGCATGTGGGAATATTTTGGGTAATTTGGAGTCAGAACATACTATTAAAATTAATTTTGGAGCTAGAAAGATGATTTCCCAGTTAACTGCTTTTCTGGAGGAACTGAGTTTGGTTCCCAGCACCTACACTGAGCGGCTCACAACTACTTATAACTCCAACCAGGGGATGTAAATGCTCTTGTGGTCTCTGCGAGCACCTGCACCCATGTGTGCATACACACACATAGACATACAATTAAAAAGAAATTAGCCGGGTGGTCATGGTGCACGTCTTTAATCCCAGCACTCGGGAGGCAGAGGCAGGCGGATCTCTGTGAGTTCGAGACCAGCCTGGTCTACAGAGTGAGATCCAGAAAAGGCGAAAAGCTACACAGAGAAACCCTGTCTTGGGAAAAAAAAAGAAAAAAGAAAAAAGAAAGATAAAGAAAAAAGAAATTAATTCCATTCATTTCTCTCCCTTTTTTTTTTTTTTAGTGTATGTCTTAGTTAAAGTTTCTAGTGCTGTGAAGACACACCATGACTATGGCAACTCTTATAAAGGAAAACATTTAATTGGGGTGGATTGCTTACAGCTCAGAGATTCAGTCCATCATCATCATGGTGGGACATGGGTGTGCAGGCAGACATGGTGCTGGAGAAGGAGCTGAGAGTCCTATCTACTTTTTTTTTTTTTTTTTTTGGTTTTTCAAAACAGGGTTTCTCTGTGTAGCTTTGCGCCTTTCCTGGAGCTCACTTGGTAGCCCAGGCTGGCCTCGAACTCACAGAGATCCGCCTGGCTCTGCCTCCCGAGTGCTGGGATTAAAGGCGTGCGCCACCACCGCCCGGCCCTATCTACATCTTACAGGGAACAGAAAGTGAACTGTCTCAATGGCCGTGGCTTGAGCATATACGAGCCCTGCCTCCACAGTGACACACTTCCTCCAACAAGGCCACACCTACTCCAACAAGGCCACACCTCCCAATAGTGCCACTCCCTTTGGGGGCCATTTTCTTTCAAACAACCATAATGTACTATTAGAAAATCTGGAATCACACATGTAGTTCAATTATTCCTGGTAGATGTGCCAGGTTTGTCTGAGGAATATGGTGCCGAGGCTGGCTGTCTCCTACTGAAGGTCCAGTGCCTTTTCCTCATAACAAAACCCTATGTGGCCACCAACCCTCTCAATACCACAGAGGAAAGTGACAGATTGCTGTATCTCCAGATTCCAGCAGGACAGAGCTGATATCCAGAGCCTACTAGGAACAGCACCCGCCAACCCTCAGACTCCAGAGGCCCCAGGGCAGCCAGGCCAAGGCAGATATTGAGGAGACTGGCTGGCACAGCGGGGCCTCTGCAGCCAGGCTGGCTCAGGCCTCCTCTGTGAACACCACTTATAAACTCTCACCGTTTCTGCATGCATCTCAGAAACTTCCTACAGTTTATCAACATAATTCACAGCAGAGTTTCCCTTCTGAAAGTGCATGCTCAGTACACGATTCAACTAAAGAACATTTCCTCACCTGCCAGAGACCACCCCACGCCCATCAGCAATGCCTCCTCTCCCCTCATCTTCTAGCTACATTGGCTATCTACGAATTTACTTATTTTGGATATTTTCCACGTACAGGATCATAGAGTATCTGTGTTTTTATGAGTGACTTATCTCCTCAAAGTCCACTCATGCTATGTCAGAATCTCATGCCTTTTGATAGTTAAATAACAAATAATTATATGGATGGACCATGCATTTATCATTCCATTATCAGACATTTGGGTTGTTTCTCTTTTTTTCTATTATAAACACTGTCACTATGAACACTTGTATATATGTTTTGTTTGCTTCCTTGTTTTTATTTTTATTTCTTTGAGACAGTGTCTTGCTGTGTAGCTGAGGCTGGCCTGTGATTCACTATCCTCCTGCATCCGTCTCCCCAGTGCTAAGACGATGCCCAGCTTGTCTCCCAGTTTTGTGTGGCTACGTTTCCATTTATGTGAGGAATCACTGGGCTATTTTTCACTGTGATGGTGGTGTCCTTTCAGGCTTCCATTTGCAGTACACAGGGCCCGCTTCCCCTCAGCCTCACCCACACTTGTTAATGTCTTTCTTCCATTTCATCCACTCTGTGAGATTCCCAAGCTCAAGGATCAAGAGCTGAGGTCTACTCCTCAGCGAAAGAAGGCTCCTGGCTGTAGCTGGGGGGCACCAGGCCTGGCCCTCAGTGAGTACACTGGAAATGGGTGACATCAGTGCTGTCCGGGACAGAGTTGTTTCATGTACACAAGGGAGACACCAGAGGTGCCCTTCCACTGCTCACTCCATCTGCCCTCTCGACCCTGCAAGGCCAGAGGAGGAGAGGCTAAATGACCCCAGACCCTCTTCACCTCCTAAAGGGAAACTGAGGCTTGGCCTCAGATATGGGCTTTCTTAAAAAATATTTATTTGTATTTTATGTACATTGGTGTTTTGCCTGCATGTATGACTTTGTGAGGGTGTCAGATCCCCTGGAACAGGAGTTATAGACAGCTGTGAGCTGCCATGTGGGTGCTGGGAATTGAACCTGGGTCCTCTGGAAGAGCAGCCAGTGCTCTTAACTGTTGAGCCATCTCTCCAGCCCCAAGATATGGGATTTTGAAGCTGCTACAGCAGTTCCCTTGGACTCTTCAGCAAACATGGAGACAAAGGTCTGCATCCCACTGGACTTCTATAATCCACTCCTTCTGCAAGATTTATGAGCGAATTTGAAATCATTCCCAGAGGATGCCCTCACACTCAAATGGTAGTCAATAAGGACTAAGGACCCACACAGAGTCAAAAATCATGTGTCTGTCTAACTGGCATGCCTCTGGACAGGACATCATGACTACAGCTATCCTACAGGGGCCCTGTCCACTTAAACATAGCTGCCTGGCCATTATAATGATCCATGTGAACTGTATGGAGAGCACATCATACATGCTCAGGAGGAAGTCACTGTAACTGACATTAGGGGTGCATCAGAGAACAGGAGGAAACCCTTGTAGAACTTGGGACAACCATGCTACATAAGAATGTGGGCTGTCAGGGCTGGAGAGATGGCTCAGCAGTTATGAGCACTGACTGCTCTTCCAGAGGACCCAGGTTCAATTCCCAGCACCCACATGGTGGCTCACAACCATCTGTAATGGGATCAGACGCCTTCTGCTCTCTGACGCTCTCTTCTGTCATGCAGGTACTACATGCAGGTAGAGCACTCATATACACAAATAAACAAATCTTAAAACAAAAAGAAAGTGGGCTGTCTTAATTTGCTATTGCTGTGCAGACACCATGACCAAGGCAACTTATAGAAGAAAGAATTTACTTGGGGCTGACAGTTCTAAGAATGAGTCCAGGACCACCAGGGTAGGAGTATGGTGGCAGGCAGGCAGACATGGCACTAGAGCAGTATTCGGGAGCTTGAACCTTAAGCATAAGGCAGGGTGAGCACTAACTGGGAATGGGACACACCTCCTCCAATGAGGCCACACCTCCCGGTCCTTCCCAAACATTTCCACCAACGGGGGACCAAGCATTCAAACATGTGCAACTATGGGGGTCATTCTCATTCACACCACCGCATGGGCTATGGACCACTCCAGGAAGTGTGTGATCTTTGGAAGAGAAAATGGGCAGGTGGGTGGGAAGGCAGGGATGGAGGTGAAGATGGCCTTCAGGAAGGGACGGACACTGAGTAACCAAAGGGAGCAGAGCCCACAAGGGAGAGTGCCAGCCTGCTCAGGTTAGGACAGCCAGGGCTACACACAGAGAAGCCCTGTTTAGAAAAACCATAAAGGAGGAGGAGGCAGGTTGGCAAACACCCACTCCAGACAGCAAGTTTAGGGAAACTCAGCCCACAGATGAAGGTCAAGGGACACATATCCTGAGCCCCAGGGAGCTCAGGATTACAGGCTCTGCTAAGCATCAACAGCTGGCTGACACCATCCACGTGACCTCATTCAGGTCTCGTAAAGGCCTTGCCAGCACAGAACTGATCACTGCTGTTGTTACACATAAAGATGAAGCGGAGGAAAAGTTAGGTAGCTGTTCCAGGGTCACACGGGAAGGAGAACCAGCTGTAACTGTGAGCAGAGGAGACCAATAACCAGGCAAGGAAGGCCAATGGGCCCTGAATCTAGTTACTTGGGTTGGGTGCTGTGGTACTTAATCTTGTGAGTCAACCTGCTAAACCAAGGTGCTCCAACACGTGGTCAGGGAGGAAATTTCAGGAGGGATTTGTATCAGCAGCTTTGGGGAAGGCGGGTGACCCCCATACCGTAGGTGGGCCTCATCCAAGCAGAATGTTTGAAGGTAGACATCAACCTCCATGTGTCCTGCAGGGTCCATATTGGGCCGCCCCATCTGTCCAACTGGTAACTTCTCTGGGCAGCTGTGATCACACAAGGCAAAAGGCACGTGGAAGAAGACCCAGTCCCGATGGCCACACTCGCAAGGGGGAGGGGCAGCCAGGCCAGCGCCCACTACCGGAGAAAGGCCTTGCGGCCTGCACCACCATTGACCAATAGGCCTACGCCAGACTCCGAGGCCCCAGCCCGGCTTCCGAGGGCCCTGGCTAGTCACACTGCAGCCAGTCCTGCCTAGCCTGTCGCTCCGGGAACCGTCAAGCCCATGCGGTCACTTCCGAAGGACACGCACCGGGCGGGGCTCTGCCAATCCTGGCGCTTTATCCTTCAGGCCGCCCACCTGGCCTGAAGTCCTCGACCTGTGAGTAGTCAGCTCTGCCGTGCACGGTCCACGCTTGTCCCAGGAATCTTGGCCCAACCGCTGCAGCGCTTCCGGATGACTTTCCCCTAAACACTCTGCTGACGGGAGTCAAGTAGAGAGCCCAGGGCCCATTGAAGGTCCGAGCTTGCAGTGAAATAGATGGGGTGGGCCTGGCTTGAGTAAGGGGGCGCGGTCACATCGGGCAGGAGGCAAGAACTGGAAGGCGGAGTCGGTGAGAGGGCGTGTCCATCTGGAGATGGGCGTGGTCTTATTGGCGCTGAGCTGGGCCAGGGAGTGGACAGATAGGCCTGGAGGATGAAGGGGCGTGGCTGTGTGGCTGGAAACTGGGTCCTCTGTGCAGGGAACTGAGGTTGGGTGGTTCAAGGCGGGGCCTCAAGAGGGGCCTGGCGCGGGGGCGGAACATCTGGCCGCCTGGTTAGTCTCCACCACGTTGTGTCTCAACTCCAATTGTCTTGCGCGCCCTTTAGTCGGGTCTCACTAGGTGCTTCTCTCTGCTGTCCTCGCCCCAAGACCTTGCCCCTGGCCCACCGCCCCCCCCCCCCCCCGCGCCCCCCCCCCCCCCGCCCCCCCCCCCCAGTTTCTGTGGGACACCCTCCTCCCGCCCTGCGCTCTCGGACTAGAGTCGCTAACTTCCTGCGTGGCAGAGCAGGTGTTCCCAGATCCATGAGCTCTCTAGGGGATCAGGTACGGGACTGGCATCAGGGCGTACTGGCGGTGGCACGAGAAGACTGGGACCGTGCGCTATGCCTCTTCTCAGACGTTCGGGAGCCGTCGGCCAAGATCTACTTCAACATGGGCTGCGTGCATCTGATGGCCGGGAATCTCGAGGCTGCATTGCAGGTGAGAGCCCCGGGACTGGTGACAGGGACCTCCGCCCCCATCCCTGGTGGAGGACTATGCAGATGAAGACGTGACTATAGGCATGAATCCTTATGTTCCAATGAACACCCTAGAAAAGGACGCTCTTCCCCACCTCATAGCCACCTGGAAGGGGGAGGGGATCCCTGCTCCTTTACCTTGTTGTTTCCTTGGAGACTGTTCCTCTAATGCTCCCTCTTAGTGACTGACTGCCTGAAGCAGGTAGGAGCTTCGTGGTTGGGAGATTCCTCTCTTAGTTGAGGCCAGAATGGGGTACAGGGCACATAGCCACATGGGTCAAATGCATCAGTCCTGTACCAGGCCAGGCCATCCGGAAGGAGGAGGGAGGGACATACCTGAAGGCGGGCTGGAGGCAGCGAGCTGGGGCTCTGCCTATCCCCCGAAGGTACACGTGTGGGGAAATGGATTTCAGCAGATGTCTGTGGTGACGGTGGCACACGCAGTCTGCCTTCCCAGTTTGGAGTGCTCACACGTCTCCCTACCTGCTTCTCCAAGCAGAACTACTCAGGGATGCACACTGTAGAGGAGGCAGTCAGGGCATTCTCTGCTTCATGTTCATCAAAGTGACAGCTATTCCTGGGTGCGTGATCTAAGCCCTCAGCGCTCCGCCTCCAACTCAGTCGTCCTGTCCTTCACATGATGGTGATCACATGGAGGACTGGGCTATGCACAGATGGCCTCTTCTAATTTCTTTCTTGAAATTATTATTATTTACTTATTTACCTGTGTGTGTAAGTCAGGAGACAACTTGTGGGAGTCAGTTCTCTCCTTCTGCCATGTGGGACCTGGTGACCAAACTCGGGTCATTAGGCATTGTGGCAGGTGTCTTTACCCACTGAGCCACCTTGCCAGCTCTTTTCTATTATTTCCTACATATGCATCTGCACCCACAATTACTTCAGAATTGTTTCTTCACTAAAAGGTTGTTATTCAGCCGGGCGGTGGTGGCGCATGCCTTTAATCCCAGCACTAGGGAAGCAGAGGCAAGCAGATCTGAGTTCGAGGCCAGGCTGGTTTACAAAGCAAGATCCAGGACAGCCAGGGCTACACAGAGAAACCCAGTATCAAAAAACAAAAACAACAGCAACGACAAAAAAAAAAACAACCCCAAACAACAACAACAACAACAACAAAAAAAAAAAGGAAACAAGAAGGTTATTGTTCAGGAGAGGAAATGTAGTGATCTGTTACCAGGTGGTTCAACAGTGAGTCACATGTTAGGTCAATCCAGTGCTCACCTCCTCACACTGTAACTAGAGAGGGGTTTGAAGTCCTCTGCCGTAAGAAGAAGAATGGGCACTGCCTTAAGTCAATAAAATGAATATGTGTGCAAGCCTAGGCATATCAGTTAGACCCGGAAACTCGAAGAAGCAGGTGGTACAGCTGCAATAAGGAAAACCAAGGGTGCAGGTCTGATGTGGTTGCAACTTCAACCTGTCAGTGTGAGACGTGTAATGTTGGATGTAGCACCAAGCAGCCAGCCCATTTCCAGGTTGATTGTGGCATGTGAAAACTTCAAGTCAGGTCCAGTTCAACAGTCAGTCCACCTGGCTGGTTTCAGTATCAGGAAACTACACCAGGTTTACTGATGGCTGCTTTCCCTGCTGGGGACACACATTTCTGTGTCTGTTTAAGGCTGTGCTGCCTGTGCACAGAAGACTTCGGTGTTCTGATTCTAATTATTATAGATGGTTGTAAGACACCATGTAGTTGCTGGGAATTGAACTTAGGTCCTCTGGAAGAGCAACCCTCTCCAGCCACTGAGAAGAGATTTTTAAAAGCCAAAAGTCTTACACAATCCTGTCTCCCAGAGACAACTGGTACTGACATCTTGGAGCATTTTCTTTCAGCTCTGTGCTCACTAGAGATAAAATGGGTTTCTATGTCATAGGGATATGCCCTGAGCTTATCATGAGGCATTTGAGGCAGCTGAGGAATCTATGCAGCAACACATCTGTCCAGGCTCTCGCTTGGCAGGCACCCGCTGCAAGGGGCCCTCATCAGTTGACATTTCCATGTGCATCTGTGGCATTGGGTTCTTGGGTTACTGAGTTTGCTGTACCACGAGCATTTTTGTCCCTAGGCATTTGACCAAGCGGTGACCAAGGACACCTGCATGGCTGTCGGCTTCTTCCAGCGGGGAGTGGCCAATTTCCAGCTGGAGAGGTGAGCACAGCAGGATCCTGTTCCTTATTGGGTGGTTCTTGGTCTCTGCAAACCAATGCTTGCACCCACTTCCGTCTCTCTGCTCTGGATCCCCTCCAGCCTGGATGAGGATGCGCTCTGGTTAGGCGGGGGCGCACACACAGTCCTGTCTCTGTCAAGATTCACAGTTCTTTCTCAGCATCCCTGCTTCCCTCCTCATGTCTGCAGTAGTGAGAATACTGTTTGCAACCAATTTGCAGATGTGAAAACCAGGGCTTATCCTAGGATGTGGATGGCCTCCCAGCTTTCTAAGAGGAGGAAGGGAGGAAGGGTATTCAGGGCTGTGGGCTCCAATCAGCCCAGGGGGGCTGGCTGAGAGAAGTGGAGAATCTAGTGGGGGATGGAGATTCCACCCAGAGTTAGAAGCTCAGAGATTAGAGGAGGCCCCATAAGGTTGGGCCCAAGAGGCAGAAAAGGAGAGCCCAGGACGGTAGGAAGAAGGTATGGAGTGTAAGCAGGGCCCCTGTCAGGCAAAGACAGCAGATGCTCAGGAGGCTAAGCAGAACTGGACAGTAAACTCCCATTGAGCACACTGGTCTGGACTTGAGTACCCATGAAGTGCTCATACCTGGGTGATCACGCTTGCCTTCAGGCATCCCAGAGCTGACCCAGAGAGAAGGATGGGTGGGGTACCCAAAGCCACCCTTCCCAGCTTAGCTCCTCCAGTGCAGCTGTTGAGAGGCCCCTCATGCTCACAGGTCCCAGGAGGCTGTGTCTGACTTCCAGCTGGCCCTGGCACAGCTGAGGGGCAATGCTGCCATTGACTACACCCAACTGGGTCTGCACTTCAAACTGCAAGCCTGGGAGGTGAGTGGGCATCTCCCGTGTGCAGAGTTCGGACACCAAGCAGTGTCACGGGGGATTGGAGGTACTCTCTGCAGCCCTGGGGTTCTGTTGGGGGAATCTAGGGTTCTTGGGAATTCTAAGGTTCTGCCATGGCCCTGGGATGCAATAGGGGTCCTATCATGTAGTCTGCGATCCTGGCTGGAATCCTAGGGTAAAATCTGGAGTGTTGCCAGGGGCTGTCACCTTTGTGTTGGTGTCACTGTCATGGTCATTTCAAGTGGAATGAGATGTCCTGTCCAGCCAAAGACTTTTGGAGGCCTGAAGTCCCCCAGCTCCTGATTGCCCAAGGAGGCTGGAGTGGCAGTGGAGGGAGCGGACTGCTCACACACTTGGGAGCCAGCCAGCATGGGCTCATGTGGGAGAAAAGCAGGACAGGATTGAAGATCATGGCCAGGTGACAGATCGGTTTGGGGGAAGGTCCCTGCAGCTGAGCCAGAGGAAATAGCAGGAACAGAGGGCCATAGGGAGAGTGGGCGTGTTTCTCTCCTTGTAGCAAAGTTGGGCTTCTGTGTGCCTACCTCTCCAGGATGAAGGGAAGATGGGCTCCAGCATTGTGTGATTTCATGTCACTGGAGCTGTAAGGATAGCTTTAACTCGGACCACCTTGCCCGTGAGAATGCTCTGAATATGCGGTTCTGATTGTCCCTGCCAATGGGAACCCTTAGACATGCTCTAGACTCAGGGGTACAGGGAGCAGTTAATGGGGGGTGGCAGGGTATAGAATGAGGAAGGTGTTAGCCAAGGGAATACTTTGTGAGCCACCATGTGAGAATTGGGAGTCTAATCCGAGTCCTCTGGAAGAGTAACGAGTACGCTTAACCACTGAGCCATCTTCCCAGCTCCCCCACCCCCGGCACAGGGGACACTTTAAAAGGGAGAGCTACTTCTGCTGTTTGAAGCAGAAAAGTCCAAAGCAAAGCATGGCCCTGCAAGGACTAAACAGATACAGGGAATGACCACTTGGCACCTGACAGCTGAGCCAGGCAGGCAGATGGCCTGGTCCCTGCTTGTAGCCCCTGTGGCAGCTGAATATACAGAAGAACCGCCAGCTACTGTGACTGGAGTTCAGAGGAGGACCATGGGGGGGGGGGCTGGCCCCTGCTGTCACGTCTGCCCTTGTTCCTAGGTCCTATACAACATGGCGTCAGCACAGTGCCAGGCAGGGCTCTGGACCAAGGCTGCCAATACTCTAGTGGAGGCGATCTCCAAGTGGCCAGAGGAAGCCCGAGATCCCCTGGACACTGCCCTGGACCAAGTGCAGGTGAGGCGGGCAGGTGGCAGTCATACTGGTTTGGAGCCAGGTTCTATAGCTTATCCCCTCAACCCTACCTATAGGACCTGGAGAGAGGTAGCCTGGGTACCCCATACTTCCTGCAGCCTGTCACACATGACGGGAGCCCAAGCAGCCCCTCTGCTTCAAGGCTCAAGCCATGGCCACCCAGGTTTACATGCTGTATCCCAGAAACAGGTACCCCTGCAGCTGCTGCAAGTCCCCAAGGGTGAGGTCTTCCAGCCTCCCAGGCAATACCTACAGCATCTGGAGCCCGTGGATTTCCTCGGCAAGGCTAAGGTAAAACACTAGGGTGTTTTCCAGCTTGGGTACCCGGCTGCCAAAATGGCAGTTGTAGCCTATGCCAAGCGCACGGTGTGGTGGCACCTGCACTGGACATCCAGTGTGTTTATGAGGACAGTTGGGTCTAGGCCCAACTTACAGGTAGTCAGTGGGTACAAGGTACCTAGGCTTGGGGTGAGTGTTCATACACGAGGCTGTAGACCCAGAGGCAGAACTTACCAGAAGTCAGCTCTAAAGGAGGAGGCTCCAGCCTTTTGATGGGAATCCCCAGGGGTACCCCTCCTTCACCCCCACACTCTTGTCCCAGGAGCGTCCAATATCTGTGCATCTTCATGTATTTCTGTTTCTGCATCTCTGCCATAGACAGCAAGGTCCCAGAAAGGATGTGCATGGCCAGTTTGGGCTATATCAGGCCCCCTAAACCACAGGCTGTGGTGGAGTATCTCACCTCCAAATATAAGAAAGGAACTCGGCCAGGAGGTGGTGGCGCACGCCTTTAATCCCAGCACTTGGGAGGCAGAGGCAGGTGGATCTCTGTGAGTTCGAGGTCAGCCTGGTCTACAAAGTGAGTTCCAGGAAAGACACAAAGCTACACAGAGAAACCCTGTTTTGAAAAACCAAAAAAGAGAGATAGATGGAAAGAGAGAGGCGGGGGGGGGGGGGGGGGGGGGGGGGGGGGGGGGGGGGGGGGGGGGGGGGGGGGGGGGGGACTCAAGAAAACAGTCATTTGCAGTGTCTCAAAGAAGGGCCAACTCGGTGTTGCATTGATGACCCCTGGGCTGGCTGTACACCTATGGTCATTGGCAACAGCAGTGTGCTGGACCTACCAACACCATGTGACCCTGTGTAGCTGCCCGAGATGCACACTGCCTGTAAATGTCCCCTGGGGTGGACTGAGTATAGATGGAGAAGAGATGTACTTGTGTATCTATCAGAGTTCACTTAGACGATCGCTACAAGAAAATCAAGTTCATGTTATTAGTACATGTTTCTCTTGGCCATACTTTTTTCTTTTTAAGCTGTAGTGGTCCAGCAGTCTTGAACTAGGTGCAGGCAGCCCACACCCTGCAGATTACAGCCACAGAGGTGCTGGGAATTGGGGACCTGGAGGAACAGACTCAACGGGGTCCTAATGCAGCTGCCTTCCTGCCCCCACTAGGTGGTGGCCTCTGTCATCCCTGACAACACCTCAGACGGCTGGCCTCAGCAGGTAGGTGGGTGGGCACTGAGCAGACCCGGGCCTGTCTTTGCGTGGTTTTGCAGAACTGTGCACTGATAAGGAAAACGAGGCTTAGGCAGGCTAGGCCAAGGACTTGAGCTGCATGCTGGGAGAGCGTTGAGAGTGAGGGTACCCCGCCTCCTATGTACGGGCTGAAACCTAGAGCTTCAGAGTTGGCGTCCCCCACATTCTCACTCTTCCTGCGGGACAGCTCTGACCTGGCAGGGAAGGCTGGTCGCTTCCATCCATTCACCTCTCATGACCCAACGAGTAAGCGTAAGCTTCTAGGAGGGCAGGCAGCCTCCTTGACAACCCGGCCAGGGGTATGGTAAGAGTCAGCCACAGCGACCTGATGTCAGGTGATGGGCTAGGAGGACCAGTTCACTAGCACACACTCAAACCCTCCACCGGGACCGGATGGCACTGTCAACAGAAGGCTGGAGCCTCTGTTGGACATACAGTGATCAAATCACATGACAGCCTAGGGAAAGACAGGTCAGAGGCCCAAACAATGTCCACCTCCGTCCTGGCCATTGCAAAACCTCAGAGCCCCTTGTACCTGGGTGAGAAGTGGTTAGGCAGAAACCCTTGCTATCCTGCTGTAGCCCTAAGAGCCAGTGGTGAGAACTTTAGGAGGTTTGACATGGGCTTATTACAGGACGCAGGACACTCACCTCCACTTAATCTCCAGTATTTGGTTCATCCCAATCCAACTGTTCAGTGTCCTTAAGAGCAACTATATCCTTAACAGCTTTGCTCAAAATCCCCAGATACTTAAACCTGCATCTACCAGCTCCTGTAATGGGCTGTAAACCTCACAAGGGCCAAACATTGCTTTTCCATAGTCTCCCTTCAAAACAGGTTCACAGCCAGGCAGTGGTGGTGCATGCCTTTAATCCCAGCACTCAGGAGGCAGAGGCAGGTAGATCTCTGAGTTCAAGGCCAGGCAGGGCTACACAGAGAAACCCTGTCTTGAAATGTGCCCCCCCCCCAAAAAAAAAGCACACACACACACAAAAAAAAAAACAAAAACAAAAACAAAACAACAACAACAAAAAAACCCACAAACAGTTCACAAGCCACACCCAGAGGTGCCCAACAGAGGTTTCCACCTCCTTGCCAACTCAGGGCACTTGAGGCCGGGCACTTCCTTATCATCTGTTCTGGGCTTCTCGGAGTCAATGGAGGAGCCACCAAACTGGAGTTGGGGATCCAGAGGCGGCCTGGGAAGCAGACTGACTCCCGATGGTGCTAGGCAAGCTGTTTGTGAACTCTAGGCCTGTGAGGACTCAACCCTGTCCCTAGGTGTGCCCAGGGTCTGCCCTACCATGCCTTACTCTCAAACTTCCTGCTAACTGCTGGCCAAGCTCCCAGACTACATCCTTGACCACCGGCGGGGCCAGGACAGAGCCCAAGGAGTTTCTTCCTGGGAGCCAGACCCGCCACCTCAAGACCCCTATACTCTAGGTCCTATTCTAGGGCCACACTCTTTTTTTGGGGGGGGGGTGTACAATTGTTTATCCAAATCCAACAAAGGTAAAACAGCATCAGGGAACGTCTAGGAAATTGGCATTTATGGATGCAGAACTTGGCAACTAGAAAACAGCCAAGGTACCGGCTTCAATGAGAACCGAACACTTCAGAGGAGGTGGGGGAGGAAAGGAAGACACGTTGCTTCTACGTGACTCATGGTGTGAATTAGATCTATGCAGACAGACTACAAGAGCTCATGCTTGGAGCCGAACCCTCCGGAGTGTAAAGGCTGAAATCTGAATTGTAAAATTTTGAGGAAAAGGTGAGCTCTCTGTTGGAACTTGGCAAGGGTTTTGCCTGGACTATACTTGACTCTTAGCCACAACCTGCTCGTGTAGCTTCTTAATGTAGAAAGTAGGCTCTCAACATCCAGCTAAATGTGCTTTTAAGCAGAAGGCCGTAGCCCCCTGTCACACCTGGGCACATCTGTAGATGGGCTCTTTATGTTGACTAAGTTCAGGGTAAGTTCCCGCCTACCTGAAGGAAAGTTGGCAACCTAAATAATAAAAACACTGGTATGCATTCAGATCTCGCATAAATAAATTTTAAACAATTTATACAAAAATAGTTCTGCATAATATAAGAGGTAACAAAACCAACGAAACAAAATGTGCCGGACGGCTGCAGCTGGTGTGTGTGAGGACGGTTGGGGCCCTGCCACCTTTATCTTCTTTTGCAGAGGTCCCACGTGGCGCAAACTGGCCATCAGTCTCCTCCATCCGTGGATACGAGGATCCTGAGCAATAGTGGTAGGAAGAGCTGCCTCGGGAGAGCTGGGATTTGTCCCTTAAAGGAAGTTTGGGGCGGGGGACAGCCACCTGCCAGTCATTCATCTGCTTCAAAGTGTCTCCTTTGTGGAAAGGTGGTCACATGAGCCGTGGTCCATGCTACAGTTTGCTGGCATCTGGAGGGCCTGACCCAGGCCCCTCTAAAGACTCCTCAGGAGCTGGGGTAAGAACTCTCCTGCTCTCCGATCCCTCCTCATCAGCCACTTGAGGCAGGGAAGGCTCGGATTCTATCTCCCTACTTCCAGCCCAGCCTCTCCCCTGACCCCCTTGAGTCCGAGGACCACCCTGCCTTCAAGGGCTATGCAACCCTGTTTCTGACCTCAGGGGGCAGCTGCAAAAGACCCTGCATCCTTGGTGACGGTCACTGTGCAGTGCCACTTTACTGTGCCCCTGGAGGCCCCAAGAGGCGCAGACCTGTCCAGTCTCAGGACACTGCTGGCTCAAGCCCTCCTTCACCAGGCCCAGATGGGGCAGCTCAGGTGAGTCGGAAAGCTGCGGGGGGGGGGGGGGGGTCGGGACCCTAAGCTGCCGGAGAAAAGGGCGGATCTGAGCTACAGGGAAGCGAGGGTTGTCCTGAACTGGAGAGCAGGGTTCTGTTGTTGCTGTTTTGCTCGGAACTGGTCACTTCTCAGGCCCAGGGAGGGACCAAAGCTAAGGCCTCCTTAGCCCTATGCCGAAGATCCTAGGCAGCCACCGGAAGTATGGCCGGGACTGGAGAGGGACCGAGGTTAACGTCCTTCAGGGGAAGTCCAGACACCAGGCACTCCCCTACATCCTGTAGCTCACACTCAGGACTCCCTTTGCAGTTACCAAGCCCCAGGAGAGGAGAAGTTCTGGATCCCCATCCCCACGGAGGAATCACTGCAGAGCGTGTGGAAGAATGTGGCCAGGGGCCCAAATGGGTTGCGGCTCCAGTGTCGGGTGAGCCAGGGGGAAAGGCTGTGAGGCCCACTGTTGGCAGCCCAGGCAGGGGGAGGGGAAGCCCTTCTCTTGTACCACCCCTGCAGCCCACCCTTCCGCCACAGGGAGCCTGGGGCCGACCGGTGCTCTACCAGGTGGTCGCTCAGCACGATTACTCAGCCCAAAGGCCTGAGGATTTGGACTTTCACCAGGGGGACACAGTGGATGTTCTGTGTGAAGGTAGGACAAGGCTGCCCTTCCCCAACACGGCTGCCCTTCCCCAGGCCCGGTGGGGGCTCTGTTCTCTAGGGCTCGGTCTTTGCTGTAAGCAGACGCACCATCCGCCATGTCTCCACAGTGGACGAAGCTTGGCTGGAGGGTCACCGAGACGGCTGCATTGGCATTTTCCCCAAGTGCTTTGTGGTGCCAGCTGGTGCCTGTGTGAAAGCCCCACCAGCTCGGAAACCCAAGCCAGAAGACCAGCGCTAGCAATAAATGTTGTGACAAGACCAGTTTTAATTTAAACAAACAAACAAACAAACAAACAAACACTACCCCCCCATATGGCCTGTCTTCTAGGGTTGATGATAAAGGGGATCCAACCAAAAGTTCTTGGGAGAGGGGAGCTGGACTGGCCCACAGACCTGGATTCTGACTGTCCGTCCCAGTCTGATTATAGTGAGGAAGCAGGGGTCTCTGCTGGGCTGGTCACGGCCTTCGGAGGGGTCCTAGTTCCACAGGAGCCCCTCCTCTTTCCACCCCTTGGAAGACTGCAGACCCCATAGCCAGTGCCACCCTGAGGGAAGACGGGAGTCAGTACTATCAGGAATTGGTTTGCTCAATGGACTGGAGCCCTTCAGGGTCAGGGGTTCATGAGGGCAGACATCCAGGATGTGCCCAGCAGGTCCTGTGTGCCAACGGCTTTCTTTCCTAAGGGCCATTGATAGTAGCTCACAGTGTAGACAACACAAACAGTTACATTGTTGCTGTTGAATCCCAACGTGGTCCCTGCTTTAGATGCGTTGTGGTCCGTGATCTACTTCAGCTTGGTTTTTACCTAGTCCTGGGTCCAGAAGAGCTGGACAGCGGCTGCCCCTAGAATGGCCACGAGAGTCAGCACTGCGAACACTACTCCAGCCATCCAGATGCTGTAGCTCTGAGCCCGCCACTGGGTCAGTGCCTCAGCTGGAATCATGCCTGTAAGGTTCAGCATGTAGCCCAGGGTCCAGCCAATGTCCACGCCACCTGCCTGTGAGACACACGGCTGTTGAGGGCTGCTGGGTGGCTGTCCTAGGTCCCATCCCATCCTCACCCTGCACCAGGGTGAGGCTCCAGGCGGCAGTCACCTGCTTCTGGAACTGGATGCTGGGCCAGTTCTCCTCCCTGAATTTGTAGCCCTCCAGCAGCAATACGAGGATGTACATGCCTGAGGCACAGTAGTCCCGTAGCCAGCGTTCCTGCCCCGGGTAGCTGGCTTCCACCTTAGGTTGCAGAAGCCGATGAGTAAGTGAGGCCCCAAGACCTCTAAGCATGTCTCTCCCAAGCTATAGTGTGATCTCCACACATCCAAACAGACTCCAGGCAGCAGAAAAGTGTTTAAAGATTTTAAAAGCCCCTCCCGAATTCCCCGTGGAGACCATCCTCCGGCTAGGAGCGGGTGAGGTGGCCAGCCTCATGACAACCAGAAGCTGATCCCATCAGGGCTCTGGACCTCTTTCTTCCCAAAGCAAGGCACTCCCCCTTACCACAGTGTTTTCCTCCCCAGTCCTGGTACCCACCGAGCTTTACCACGAGTCTCTCTCTGTCCAGGAAAACCCAGTAAGATCCCAGAGGCCCTGCTTGCCCACGGTGCAGTATGGAGAGGGGCTAGGGCCGTTATCCAGGGTCACCTACCAGTTTCCAGGGTTTCTGACAGAACTTCCAGACAGTGTCATTGACAATGTGCAGCGGCTGCCTGGAGGTGAGGTTCAGGAAGTCGAAAGTATAGTAAAAGTTGGAAAATGCCTGGGGGACGAAGAGAAGGCTGGGTCAGCCTGAAGGAGGCCCAGGACTCTTCAGCCAGGTATTCCCTCTGGTGTCGGAGTCCCAGACAGGGCCCCTCCTATTCCACTTGTCCTTGGAGCCCCTGGGGTCAGAAGGTCACCTGGGGCCCCAGAAGGAAGCCAGGGCTTGGGGGGGGGATGCTTACATAGAACTGGCCATGCACAGGAGGCTGGTACACTCCGTTGAAAGCACAGTCTTCTTGGTCCTCACAGCTGGAGAAGTTGAAGAGACTCCGGAGGGCTGCCACACATTCCCCAGGGTTGCCGATCCCTTCAACTGTGAGGTTCTGGGTGAGGTTCAGGGAATCTGTAGTGTGGACACAGGGCGACTCATGCAGCGGGGCCAGTGGCAGTGTGGCCAGGTAGCCGCTATGGTAGCATGGGTGTCTGACCAGGGAGCTGTTCTGCAGAGAGAGGAAAGGGCATGAACTCGAAGCTCTGACACACTTCCCCACTCTGCCCCATGCCATCCCACTTCGCCACCCTTCAGATACCAGCCTAACCTGTGCCAGCTTAGCCAGGAGCCTTGTCAGGACCTGGTCCCGCCCGAAGCAGAGGTAGCTGTGAGTATAGATGCTGTAGTTGGCACCGTACAGACGGAAGGTAGCCTGGGTGCTCTGGTCCAGGATGGGGCCCTGAGGCGCGAAGCTGATCTGGGTGGAGGCCCCACCCAGATCCAGAGCACCAACCAGTGTCCTCTCTTCAGGCAGGATCCACTGTCCAGAGGAATACTGACCACAGAGGAAGTGCTTAGCTCTGGGCAGCCACGCTGGCCCCAGCTGCCAGCTGGCCGGCTGGCCAGCCCCAGGGACTGGCCTCTCAGACCAACCCCTCACCCTTGGGCTGCCCCTGCACCTTGAGAAGCATTCCCAGGACATAGTTGATAGTGATCCAACCAAAAGCACCTTCATCTTGCCCAGCCAGGATCTTAGCACCCCAAAAATCCACAGGAGAGTTGCTCAGTGTCTGGGAGACTGCAGCTAGGATGTCTCTCGCCTGAGAGCTGTTCTTCTGGCTGGGTAGAGAGGAGAGAAAGCCTCACTCTAACCTCGTTCCAGGCTCCACGGCACTTCACCCCGGGGTATTCAAGCCTGGCTTTCGGGGGTGACCCTAACAGATGCAATCTGCTCCTATCTCACCTGAGCAGCCTCATTCCTGCTGTGGCCCCCAAGAATGTGGGCGTCTCTTGGTGCTGGGTCTGTGGGATCAAAGCCAGTGCCTCTTCCAGGCAGCCCTTCAGGCTTTCCCCAGCCTGTGTTGGGTCCGAGGTGTAGGAAGCGATCCCAGGTCCTGAAACACAGTACCCTAGGAAAAGGCTCCAGACCTGACGCTTGGGACTGGTGGTGGCCCCCCAAAGATGTGGTCATATCCTGATGTTTGGAACCTGTGAATGTGACCTTTTTTTGGAAGAAGGAAATTCCCAGGTTTAATTAAGGGTTTTTGAATGGGGCATGATGGTGACTGACTATCATCATAGTCCTCAGGAGGTTGAGGCAGGGGGATAGAGGGATCAAGGTCAGTCTGGGTTACACAGCAAGACTCTGCCTCAAATAACAACAAAGGAAACCTAGAGATTAGGCTGGTTTGGTCGCATAGCGGACCACAAGTCCAGTGATTACAATCCTTACAGGGAAATGTAGGAAACCCAGAGCTTCTCCCACTTTGGGGCTTCTGGAGAGTGTGGCTCTGGCACCCCTGGGCCTCGGGCTTTTTATCTCTAGAATTGAGAGGAACCCCGGGAAATTAACTCAGGGCCTAGCACTCGGTAGCTTCTGCCATCAATGTGGTGTGGTACCTAGATGAGAAGCTCCAGGATACCAGAGAAGGCAGCTGTGGCATCAGATAGGGAGACGTTAGCCACAGAACCCGAGGGAAGAGCTGTGTGTGTATTCTCATCAGAGCCAGCCCAACTGAGTGACCATGGTCTCTCACACTGGGAGTCCAAGCCAGGTCACAATGGGACTACCCGCTGACCTTCTATCTGGCAAGTCAGGGCCTGGCTGACCACTCCTGTGTCCTTCTCCTTGTTTGCTGGCCACTGGTACACAAACAGGGATGTGTGGGAGGAGCCGGCGTCAAACACGATCCCAAACTAAGGACAACATTGGGATCAGAAAGGCGTGGAGGCCAACATCCTGGTCACCCAGCCCCACATCCTCATCAGGTCTCTGAGCCAAACCTTGGTGTCTGCAGGCAGGAAGACATCGGTTGCCTTCACCAGGATGAGGATGAGCATGGTGAGGCCAGAGGCTGCTGCAATCCCTAAGAGGGCTATGAAGACCCGTTCCTTCCAGGAGAGTCCCATGGCAGGCGGAGCAGAGCTGCAAGTGTTAGGTGGGCAGTGGAAGACACTCAGATTCCACCTGCTGTCCCAACCCCAGCCTTCTAAAGGAAGGGTCTTAACACATGCCAACTCTCCTCAGATGTTGTCAAGTGTGGGACTCAGATAGCCTCCCTTGGCCAGGTCAGTAGCCAGGACAGCCACAGTAAAAAAAGGCCACATGCAGTGTCCAGAGTCCAGCTGGTCAGGTCCAATATTGTCACAGAGCCTGGGGGCCAGGACATGAGGTACTGTCTGAGGACTCAGCCGATAAAGGACAGTCATTTTTGATGTCACTATCAAGGGTTAATGGAACCCCAGTAGACAGGCCTTGCCCTCCCTCTTCTTCTGGGCCCCTGCTTTCTTGATTCTCCCATGAGGAGCCCCCGATCTGAACTGAACTCAGGGCTCCATGCCAGGGTCTCTCAGTGCAGGACTTCTCTCTGGGAGCCTCAAGGCCAGGCCCATGCCATTTGGCGTCCAGGAGCCAGGTGTGGGCCCTTCATGAGGCCAGTTAGCATTCTATGCTTCTTAACAAAGACATCTGTTTCTTTTGGAAATCCTAAACTTGGGTTTCTCTCATGGGGATCTGAGAGACTTTAGCTGACCCCAGATGAACCCGGGCAGCTGACCAAGGCTGGCCAAAGAATGCCATTATCCTTGGTCCCCAGGACAGCAACACCCTTATCTACCCTGGAGCCCAGCAGGGGTTCTGAGCCTTTACCCACCCCAGCCCACCGATGTACAGAGAGGTCACTAGGCAGCCTGCTTCACGGCAAGCCTCACAATGGATAGTGTTGCTCACTGGACTGTTCAAAAGCCAGAGTGTTCCCTGAGTCTCCAGCAGTTTGAAATTCTGTGACTTTGTATCTCGTGGCATACCCCCCAAGAAAGAAGACACCCCCAGTGTCTCATGAGAGACTAACAGAGGTTTGGACCCCTGGGAATAGGCTAAGTGAGGCACAAGCCCGTGGAAAGGGAGGAAGACTGAGGCAGGAAAAACAAATGACCTAACCAGCACCCAAGGCACAGTGATAAACAGGCCACAGGTAGGAACCAAGAAGCCACAGACCCCCACCTCAGGGAATGTAGCTCCGGAGGCGAGGTAGTCATAAAAAGAGGACAAGGCAGGTTCCCCTCACCCAGGACAGGCAGTACCCTACCAAAGCCAGCCCACAGACCAGGACAGCCCCTTGGGTCCCTTACCTGAGCTGGAAGCCAACCTTCAAGAGTAGCTGGAGGAAGTCCTATTCCTGGGTGCAACCGACCTGCACACCTGCTGCCCTCCACACCCTGTCTCCACCCACTGGAACCTGGGGCTGTGTGGGAGGAGCAGGCCTGCTCTAGCAGCCTTCAGGGGCTGCGTCTACCACCTTTATTCTGCATCGTCAGTCCCGGGCTTACATCTTCTCCTGGCGAGGGAGGAAGGGCAGTGCCCCCAGTGCTCAGGGTGAACTTTGGAGCTGTCCTGGGAATGACAGAGAAGGCAGGACTGTGGAACCCCCTCCCCCGTACTGTGGACCTTGCCATCTGTCCTACTCACTCCGGCCAGGCCAGAGCGGAGTCAGCTAACAGGTGACTGAGAATCCAGTTCTAGAAGGCTGGATGCTGCAAAGCTGTGAAGGTAGAAGGGCCGGGTGAAGCCATTCTCCTTCAGACCTGTTGGATTTTTTAAAACGTAAGGTACAGGGCCTGGGTATAGCTCAGTTGGTAGAATTATTTGCCTAGCGTGCACAAAGCCCTGTGTTCAAGCCCCGGCCCCACATAAAGCCACAAGGTGGTAATCCTAGCACTCGGCAGGCAGGCAGGCAGGCAGGCAGGCAGATGCTGTCCTAGTTAGGACTTCTATTGCTGCGATAAAACACTGTGACCAAAAGCAACTTAGGGCAGAAGGGGCTTGTTTCCCTTACACCTCCAGGTAACAGTTCATCACTGAGGGAGGGCAGGGCAGGAAGTCAAGCAGAATAGGAATCTGGAGACAGGTGCTGATGCAGAGGCCGTGGAGAAGTGCTGCTTACTGGCTTGCTCTTCCAGGCTTGCTCAGCCTGCTTTCTTATACAACCCAGGATCACCAGTCCAGGGCTAACACCGCCCACAGTGGGCTGGCCCTCTCATGTCAATCATTAATCAAGAAAACGCTCTGCAGGCTTTCCCACAGGCCAAGCTGGTAGGGACAGTTTCTTTTCTCTTCTTTTCCTTCCTTCCTTCCTTCCTTCCTTCCTTCCTTCCTTCCTTCCTTCCTTCCTTCCTTCCTTCCTTCCTTCCTTTTTTTTTTTT